TTAGCATTGAGATCGAGTTACAAGACCGAAAGTTACTTTTTCACTTTAATTCAGAAATTTCGATGAAAATAAATAGTCATTTTGTGTCGTCATAAACGTCAACATGCGGGTTTGCACGATGAGCACGGGAGATTACTTCATAATAATATTGATTGGCATAGAGTTTTTTTCTGAGAAATTTCCCGTGAAAATTTATTCACAGACTTATGTTCTTGGCAGTGAACTTAGTGAACTTTTGAATGATGACTATTTTCCCCACTGATAACAATGTGAGCTTATCATGAATATGTTTAATTAATACTGAGTTATTCAAATAAAGGTTCTGGTGTCTACATTTTATATTTTGTTGTGATGTTTTGTTGTACCATCATAAATGGTACATTTTGTGGAGCAGACTGCCTAATTTGATGTCATGAAATTACACACAAAATTAGAGCTCAGGTTGCACCAGCACGCACCATTTTCAGCATGCTGTTCTTGTTTTCAGCGGATGACAGAGGGGACACCTCCCTCTCCTTCTCTCTTCCCCGTTGTGCTCGGTCGCGGGAAAATGCTCCGCAGTTTCCAGACAAAGTTTACTAATACTTTTTTTTCTTGATTAGTAAATTTACTATTACCTAGCAAATTCCAGAGAGAGCCCAGGAAAATATTGCATTATTTTTGTAGATATTATTGTGACTATAGAACAGAATATTAAATCACTTGCTCAAACAAACTATAGTGAATATATAGGCAACATGCATTTCGAACAAGCAAATTTAAAAGTTTATGTCAAGCCATGTAGAAAAGCACACCCATGAAGTTGACATAAAAACATGCACTTCTAATTGAGCAAATATGGTACTTGTTATTCAGACATAATATTTTTAACCATTCTTTCTGTGTTTTTAAATGGTTACCATAGCATCAGAATAATTCTTATTCTGAAAGTAGTCCTTAGCCATTAGTGGCGAAATTGTGGACAAATCTGAATAGCCACTGACAGGTAGTTAACAAAGAAATCATAGGGTTCTCTGTCTACCAGTTTGACCATACACAACAGTTCAAGACCAAACAATGTATTAAACTTACACAAACTTGATCCCCAGTCCAGGAGTCTAAATTAACCGATTTCACTTTAGATATATGTACACCTAGATTACGATGAATACCAGCACATCTTATACATACAAAAAGTCCAAGATTCCAAGAGGTCCATCGCGGCCCTAAAAAGTAAAACAAAATAAATTTTCCTAAAATGCCGCCAATAATATATATCAAAACATACATGTAACACACAGAAAATATTATAAACAGAGACAAAATTAAGTACAGATATACCGGTACCTGGTAGCCCAGTGGTTGTCGCATCAGACTTATGACCAGTAAACCCAAGTTCAAATCCTACCTTAGACTGAACATCAAAAGGGTCGATCCCTACCCTGGGTGAGTGTGCCACAGACTCAATGGGAAGGCCAATTCCACTGGCCGAGATTCATTCACTAACAAATGCGACTTTGGGCAAACCTTGGCTAAGGTCAAAAAGAATATATAAAAAAAAAAGTACAGATATATGTAAAAAACCCAAATCAAATTGCATCATTATGAAACAATACAATTCCAGACAGATGAACTTTTACAAAATCTGGAACTCACAAGACTGGAAAATCAGTGAAGCAAAATTGAAACGTGTACATATATTAAATTTTTTAAATCACAACAGATTCCAATTCCAGTCCCTTAATCCAAATTAACATTGTATACCACCCTCATTAACTATCACTAATTAACATCACCCTTTTTAAAAAAAATCTCTTACTATGAATTATATATATTTATAACAACTAAAATAAAATGCTTCAAGGTAAATCAGAAGACTGAAAAATACAACCCATAGACAATATATTTGGTTTTTCCAATCATTTGACAGGAATGTATAAGTAATTACACACATCAAAACAATATGCTGTTTCCAGAATAAATAAATTACCAGGAAAACAAAATAATCGACGCTGATTCAATTAAAGATATTACCAGAACTAAATTTTAAGTGACCATCTTGTAATTTTATAACAAGGATGAATTTTCAAAGAATTTTGCTTTTGCTTGTGATAAATGAACGCAACATCTGAATAATATTCCGGTTGATATTTAGATTATCAGTGCATCCTGGTGTCTCTTAAAATAGAAATTTAGAGGTATCTAATCATCGTTATCTCAAACACCAAACAGTTTATGTTTACACAGAGCAGGATTTATGTTTATGAAAAGCCCCTGATGATGTATTGTTTCACATCCTGTATCCAAATTTAACAAAAATTAAATACACATACATGTATGTACAAGCAATAAATAAACTTTGGTTCCGGCCATGTGATTAGTCTTTTAAAAGATTGACAGGGCTAGCATCTAGTTCCAATTCATACACTCAACCCAGGCTATTTTACAATTACCACAATGGAAAAACGGAATTTTACTATTACTTTTCATAATAAATAAACTTATTATTCACGTTAGACTTAACGTGACAGAAGGATCCAACACTCGATAATTCAATCACTGTTTAGTTTTGTACGTAATAGATACAGCACACAAACTCTGACATTTATTCATATAATACATCGATGTATTGAATAAATTGATACGCTGAAAGTCGGTATCACATCAGTGTAAAATGTCATTACATAACGTTGATAAGGGCGAAACAAAGTGGAATTCTGCTCGCGGCAACTTTCGCCTAGTGAAACACAGAAGTTTTCTGGCTATGCACACCGATCGTGGCGGTGGTCGAACCATTCGATTTTGTTAACGAACCATTACGTTTATCACTATTACGGTCGTTTCGAAACTGTGTCAACTATAACAGACGCGCATTTCTTTTCGAATGGAAACATAGGAAAGTGCTGTCTTATCCACATTGTGTTTTTTAAATGTACTACAGAAAGCCGGTCGTCGCCGGTTGATATTTCCAGAAGGCCAAATACGCGTGGCAACCTTACCTTTGGCATCACAGTCAGCACAATATTTGTTATCTTCTTCCCGTAAAAGTCTTGTCAGTATAGCTTGATATTTATCCTGATTCTTTTTTTCCTTTTCTTTCTGTAATCGGGAATTCATTTTCGGATGAATTTACAGGATAACCTGAAACAGAATTTCAATTTACAGGAAGAATGGAACAAAATGGCGATAACCCGGAAGAAGAACAACTCACTACTAACGGCAAGGTATGTTACTGTTTTCAATAAAGTAGTTCCTATACCAACCTGGCGTTTTTTCCCTGCTTTCGGTCACAATGGCATATTATTTACACCAATGAAAATAAAACAATAGTGCACACAGTTATATGTGAATGGTTAGCTCAATTATTATGCTTCCACGGAGTTACATCTATGCGGATGACTTTAGATTTCAGGAACAGTGAAGAACGGAACTATATGGGGAAATGTGGGTGGTGTACCCGATGACGTAAAGGTAGTACATACGTCACAACTCGCGTGTCATTCACTAAAACACTGACTTTCACGAGGCGGATTCTAGGAAATATTGACATACTAGGGACGTCTTTGGAAATAATTCACAACGGATTTCGCGGCAAACAAACGCACTGTGAACAATTTCACTCGTAACTAACTCACAGTGTTGCCCGGGTGTCATAATTGGGGGGGGGGGGGTCAAGGGTGATAGCTGGTACATGTTACAGGAAATAAAAAAAAAGGCATTTTACGTTTTTACAGAAAATAAAAATAGATTTTTACACTTTACAAATTCCTAATACATTTTATACTTTTATAAATACTAGTATTTGATAATTTGTGTTTAAGAAACAAAATTTGAAATTGCGTACGAATTACGAACATGCTTTGTACGCTTACAAAAAATAAGATCTTTGTACAAATTACGGACAAATACATTTGATTACATTTTACACCTTGCCCATGTCTACGAATTTATAATTCTTATTTATTTGAATTACATTATTACGAAAATAAAAACAATTGATTACAGCTTACGAAAATACCGCTTGCCGACCCTCATAATTATAAGTAGAAGATGAATTCCACTTCATCCACTTAAGTTGTCCCATTTATAAAAAGCACACACAACGGCTATATATAAAGAATCTTCAAAATGCGTTCCTGGCTTTATGAATTAAGTTGAGAAAACAAAATGTATTGTGTTCTTAGACAGTGTTGCGTTTAATAAATAGAGCAATTAATATTTTTCTTTATTTTTTGGAACGGATGACGTATACGCCGTAGCGGGCTCGTAAATATGACTTGTACCAAAAAACTCCACTGTTATATTTTCCAGTACATTAACCGCTGACGCATATATGGATTTATTTTCTGATATGTTATTTCATTTTTACTATATTATTTTGTTATGCTATCTCCACCGGATTACCGGTGACATTTCTGTAGTTATCGGAATGTAGCTAGAAAAGAAAGGCAAATGAAGTATAACAGAAATGCCCTCAATGTCTACAGTGTAAAGTCCGGTATACAAGATCAAACTTATCTGATCACATTAACCGGACGGCAGAGTTCAAGTACGTCCGATTTTGTTCAGACATCAGATTTGATGCGTTTTATCTGAAGAGGTTATAGGTATTTCACGTGACTAAAATTTTAAAAACAAACAAACAAACAATATTATGTTTCATTATTGTAATGCTATTACGTACAAAACGGTAGGACAACTTTCAGCCTGGATTCGTAAATAGTTTTCTTCGCAATAATTATCACGTGATTCATTAAATGACTAAATTGATTTTCTCCCAGGAAAAATTCAACTCCTCGTCCGTAATGCTGAGAAATTGTTTGAAGTAGAGTGTACTTTTTCGGAAAATGAAGTGTTTGGAAGCTATGTATTCACGAATCATTGTAGTGTGACAATTATTCAGATAATAACGTGTTAGACCCCGGATTGACCACAGTTGTAAACATTTTTTGAGAGAGTCGAAAGGATTGGACACGTTTTCGTGATACGCCGGCCCGGGGTCATATGAGAAATAAATTCGAACTCCCTTGATTAGGGTTTGGGGGCCAATTAATACAAAACAACTTTAGTTTGCGACACCGCTATGATCCCAGCCACAACCCACCCATTTTATTATGCTTTACCTACCGTCAACCCTCAAAAGTAAGTGAGAGTATTGAAGAGGTATTCAGCTGATTTAGTATTTCAAAGGAAACACGTGAGGTCATTTGCAAAAGCAAAGTTTTTAACCTCGTTACCCGTGAACTTAATTTCATGGATATTTTTTTCTGAACAAATGTGCAATAACAGCACTTCCAAATCGGTAATACAAATCGCACTGTCTCATACCATCGATACTCGATATTATCATTACCTGGTGTCTTTTTTATGGGAAGACAGATAAGTGCAGTATAAACCACGTGAAATATAATTGGCCTTCACATAAAACTCTGTAAGTCGTGTTAAGTATTGTAATTTGATTATTGGTGAGTAAATCTCTATGACCATTACCAGGACCATGTGGGCGACGACTGTGAAACAAATTAGAATAAAAGGTCGTAATTTCTTAGAGAATTTGTTCTGAATTTATAAGTAAGTTATTCGAGGAATCAAATAATTGTGTAAAATGGTTCTTTTTTTCTCTCAAGACAAAGAACATATTTTGTCTCATACCAAGCTGCCCCTGAATGAATACAAGAACCATCCGTGACATTGTTTCTTTTATTACTTTCCAAGTTACAAAATACAAGAAAGAAAAGTACATTAAAACAGCACATAACAAATAAAATAACAACTACAACAACATTATACATTATATATACATACGGCCTTATACATACATGTTATTATATGGCAACCAAATCGATAAATGCAAGAATAAAAATTGGGTATATTCTATTTCATCAAAAGGATTTGTTTTTTAGGAAATGTCAAAATTTCTTTAAAAAAGTATGTCGGGCAAAACTTCTAAAAATAATCACCAATCAAAAATCTAACATCACTTAGATTCAGTACGAGTATCACACAAATGCGTAATCATATTAATATTACATGTCTTCAATAAATGATGTCAATCCCGAACATAGATAAGTGCTTTCCCGAGTATTCATGCTCGTAATTTAACGCTGAGTTTAATACCATTTGGTGGAGACAAAATTAACTGCTTGCCAAATACCGGAGGAATCTACAAATAAATAAACACACAAATAAATAAATAAATAAATAAATAAATAAATAAATAAATAAATAAATAAATAAATAAATAAATAAATAAATAAATAAATAAATAAATAAATAAATAAATAAATAAATAAATAAATAAATAAATAAATAAATAAATAAATAAATAAATAAATAAATAAATAAATAAATAAATAAATAAATAAATAAATAAATAAATAAATAAATAAATAAATAAATAAATAAATAAATAAATAAATAA